GAATGGTTTGATAGATGCTCCACAGGATAAAGACAGCTCAGGTAAGTGATGATTTCTCAATGGCACATTGTTAGAATTTGTAGGAGAATGGCAAGCTGGGGTTTGTGATGTTCCCATCAGTGGTTTGTTCCTTCTGACACACTATGAAAGAACCCACTACTTCATCCTTTATCACTGTCATGGAGGAGCTGGGAGCCAGCCCTGAGTGATAGCAGAATGGAACTTTGCTGATAGTGACCTGGGGGGGGGGGGGGCTGCATTACGAAATGTCACTTCCACTCCTCTGTGAAGGGCTTGCCAGGCGTTTTCCAGCAGGAATTGTGCACCAGCAGTGTGATTAGTGCTGCCAGCTCTGCAGGCAAGGTAATTAAACTTGAGGGAGAAATCGCACTTTTTCTGAAACAAGGTAGATCTTCATTCAGTTGTAGGTTACCGCCAGGGACTGTTCTGACAAGACAAAGCCTGTGAATATAGAAGCTGTTCTGATGCTAAACTGATGATTGCTGTGGCAGGGCTTTGGCTACACAAAAATTCAAGTCTCCAGAAACAACAGAGTAGGACTATAAAGAGAGTCCTTGAGAATGTCTAGCTTCCTGTCATGTCTGAAATTCCTTTGAGGATCATGTAAAATATCTTGTGTTTTTACTGACTCCCAGAGAGACATTCTTACTGTCATATTTTAGAGCAAACAATGAGATGCCATTTCTGACTGTAGAAAAGCACTAACCAGGAAAGGTACATTTGGTGCAATTTTTTCTTAGCAAGAATTTAGAAAAAAATGAGATTATGTGTCTTTAGGGGTGTTACCAAGGGATCAGCTGAGTGGATGTGATGGATCAGGTAAGCAAGTGCCTGTCTTCTGTACCGTGGCAGGTGCTTTGGAGCAAAGAAAAGTAACAAAGTCAGATCAGGCAGACAGAGCAACATGCATGGCAAAATCAGGCCGCTCCAGTTCCTTTGCTTAGAAAACCTCAGTGACTTTCCCTGTCTGACTCCAGAATGAGGCCCCAGCATCTTTCTTTGCATGCTATAAAGGCTTTATGCTAGATGACAACACACTTCCCAGATATGACACCTTCCTTCTTTTTTATTGTGATAAATTTATATATCATATAAAATTGTCATTTTAACAACTTTTGAGTGTACAAGTCACTGGGTTCCATTATATTCACGACCCTGTATAACCTTCACCTCTGTCTCTGAAGTTTTTCATCACCTTAAGCAGAAACCCTTTACTCATTGAACAATAACTCCCCCTTCCTGCCCTCCTTCCCAGGCCCTGATAACCTTTAATCTACCTTCTGATTCTATGAATTTCCTAATTAGATATCTACATATTGTTTACCCATTCATTTGTTGATGGACACATGGATTGTATACATCTTTTGGTTGTTGCAAATAATGTAGTTATAAACAATGGTTTGCAAGTAACTCTTCAAGTCCTTGGTGGGTCATAGATAAATTTTATGTTTAGCTTTTTGACGAACTTTAAAACCATTTTCCACAGTAATTGTACCATTTTACATTCCTACCAGAATGTATGAGGGCTCCAATTTATACACATACTCATCAACATTTATTCTTACTTTTTATGTTAGGGTAGTCCTCCCTTATCCATGGGGATACATTCTAAGACCCATAGTGATTGCCTGAAATTGCAAATAGTACTGACTCATATATAGTAGTCACCTCTTACCCATGGTTTTGTTTTCTGTGGTTTCATTCACCTGCAGTTAATTGTGGTTTGAAAATATCAATGAAGAGCTCAAAAAACAAGCAAGCATGTTTTAATTTGTGTGACATTCCAAGTAGAGTGATAAAAACTGTGCCATCCTGTGCCATCATGCCTGGGATGTGAATGACCCTCTTGTTCAGTGTTATTTACACTGTATAGGATACCCATCCATTAGTCACAGAGTAACTGCCTCAGTTGTCAGACTAATGTGTCAGTATCACAGTGCTTGTGGTCAAGTAACCCTTACATAGCAGTCCAATACTACATCACAATGCCCACATCATTCACCTCCCTTCCTTTCATCACAGAGACATGGTATCATCTCACATCATCACAAGAAGAGTACATTCAATGTAATAAGATATGTTGATTGGGAGGAGAGTGAACAAATAAATTATTATAGTACATTTTTATAATTTTTCTATTGTTTTTATAGGAAAAAATTATAAGCTGATATTTTACATAAAGGGCCTTTTAGAAAACAAGAATTAATCCTTTTATAAAGTCCAGTTAGCGTTCAATTTCCCTTTAATGGATAATGCTTTTATAGATGTTTTTAAGAAAACTTTCCTTAAACTAAAGTCAGAGATTTTTTTCCCTATATTTTATTCTAGAAATTTAGTTATAAGTTTTTCCTTTAGGCAGTGATCCATTTATGTTAATGATTAACAAACAGATCAAAGAAAAGTCTCTTTTATATATGTGTGTCCAGTTGTTTCAACACCATTTGTAGAAAAGACTACTCTCTTTTTCACTGAACTGCCATTCAACTTTTGTTGAATCAACTGACCCTGAATGTGTGGGTCTATTTCTCATCTCTACTTTGATAAGTATGATGATCTCAATGCAATACCACACTGTTTTGCTGACTGTAGGTTTGTAAAAAATGTCTTAAAGTGAGATAATGTATTTTTTGACTTTGTTCTTCTCAACATTGTATTGGCTATTCTAGGTCCTTTGCATTCTTATATAAATTTTTTGAGAATAAATTTGTTACTTTATACACAAAATATTTCTGAGATTTCTACAAAGCATTCTTATAAAAAATTGAAGAAGGCATAAATGCATGAAGTTACAGACCATGTTCACAGGTCAGAAGATTCTGTAGTGTTAATACTTATACATATAGATATACACTCTTTGCCCCACTCCTAAAGGTATCCACATTCTGATTCCTGGTGTTGACACCTGTGTTTGTTATGTAGCAAAGTGACCTTGCATAGAGAGTTAAGTTTATAAAGCTTAAGAGGGAGATTTTCCTGGATTATTCAGGTAGGTCTAATGTAATCAAATGGGCCCTCAAAGATGGAAATGGAAAAAAGAACATTCTGTTGGATGTGTTTAAGAAGAGGCAGCAGAGATAGGAAGTGTGAGAGGGACTCAAGTCACCATTGCCTGCTTTGAAGATGGAGGAAGTGGTCATGAGCCACGGGATGTGGGTAACCTCTAGAAGCTGAGAGCATCTCTTGACTGGTTTCCAGCAAGGATGCAGGAACTTCAATATGACAGCTGATAGCAATTGAACTACTTCAGAATCCGGAATGAACAAGGAAACAGATTCTCTGCCAAAGCCTCCAGGATGGGCAGTAGCCCCGTCAACACCTCAGAATCTGCTTTATGAAACTCTAATCAGATACCTAATGTGGGCCGACCCTACTTTTGACTTATGAAAGCTATGGTATAATAACTAGTGTTATTTTAAGTCACTATGTTTGTGATAATATTTCATGGAAACTAGTATGCTTTTTAATCTATAGAATATAATGTCATCAAAGATCAGATTTTATTATTATTTATTATTATTAGCAATTTCATCTTCTCACTTTTTGTCCTCCTTCACATTGGCTAAAAGTATATCAATCTTACTGATATTCTCAAAGAACTAGGCTTTGGTATAATTTCTTTTCTGAACTATTTTTCTATTTTCCATTTTATTGATTCCTGCTCCAATCTTTATTGTTTCTATTTTTCTTACTTTGGATTTTATTTTCTCTACTTAATAAGAAGAAAACTGAGCAGACTAGTTCAACAAAAAACTTCATGAAACAAGATACATGGGTGTAATCCTCCACCTTGCGGCGCCGGCACACCGGGTTCTAGTCCCGGTTGGGGCGCCGGATTCTGTCCCGGTTGCCCCTCTTCCAGGCCAGCTCTCTGCTATGGCCAGGGAGTGTAGTGGAGGATGGCCCAGGTGCTTGGGCCCTGCACCCCATGGGAGATCAGGAAAAGCACCTGGATCCTGGCTCCTGCCATCGGATCAGCGCGGTGCGCCGGCTGCAGCGGCGGCCATTGGAGGGTGATCCAACGGCAAAGGAAGACCTTTCTCTCTCTGTCTCTCTCTCTCTCACTGTCCACTCTGCCTGTAAAAAAAAAAAAAAAAAAGATACATGGATGATAAATGTGTACATTAAAAGATACTCAGTAACATGAGTCATTAGGGAAACACACTTTGAAACCACCGTAGGAAACTCCATCTTCACAGCCATTGGTATGTCTAAAATCAAAAGGCTGACCAAGTCTTTATGAAAACATGAGAAAATTGAATTATCACACACTGCTGATATGATTTTACAATGGTACAGCCATTTTAAAAAACAGCTCTGCAGTTCCTGAAAATAAATATTCTGTACAAAATTTCATAATACCTATCATATAATCCTACCAACCCATTCCTAGGAATTTACCCAAGGGAACTGAAAGCAAAAATTATACGTGATATAGCGTATTCATGTGCACTAGCTAACCTCTAGTCCAAATGTCCATCAGCAGGTGAATGGTGTGCACATCCTGGCATATCCATGCAGTAGTATACTACTAAGAAATGAAAAAAAAGAATTATTGATCCACATACTGACATTGAAGAAGTTAAAATAATTATGCTTAATATTTATTTGTAAATTGAAAAGGAATACGGAAAAACATACTGTGTTATTTATAGAAAATATAATTCCTCCTTAGTGAGAAAAGAGATGAATTGCTTACTGGGAATGTGGTGAGGGTTACAAGGGAAATTAGAGCAGGGTACAAGGACATGTGTATGAATGAACCCTTGGGGTGATGGATAAGTTCATGGTCTTGATTATAGTGTTGGTTTCATGAGTGTATACATAATTCAAAACAGAAATTGTGCATTTTAAGCATAGATACTTTGCAGTGGATCAGTTAACCTAAATAAAGGAAAAAGGCAATCAGAAGATATAAAGATTAATTGATGGATGAGTTAAAATTCGAAGTATATTTAAATATTCATTTACTTATTTTTCAGGATGGATTGCTATTCTGGGTGCCCTCTGGTTGTTAATTTTAGCTGATATCCATGATTTTGAGATAATTCTACACAGAGTGGAATGGGCAACCCTTCTATTCTTTGCATCACTCTTTGTTTTGATGGAGGTAAGACTTTAGAACTACTTCAATATGATCTTTTATCTAATTTTTATATCTCATATTTTACTTAGTGAGCAAAGAAAATCTAAGCCTGTAAGACTTCCCACATGCTCAGTAAGTAGAAAGCGATGGAGGTTGTAATAAATCTATTTTAAGTTAAATTGTTTTTATCTCAGCCACTTAAATATTTGTGAAGAAATTGTTGTTTATTTGGTTGTCATTTTTCCTTGAATTATTCTTATGGTTTGTAAACTTGTCTTGATTTTGTTTACTATAATATAGAATTTTCTCTAAGTTTGGAGTTTGGAGCAAAATGACTTGTAACAGCAAATTTTCAGGGCAATAATACCTTGATGATCTTTTTTCTCCCTCAAAGAAACCCAGCTAAGCACTGCCTTTTGCAGATCTTAAATTTATGATGTATTATGCTTTCATTTTCATTGTTAAAAAATTTTCTAATTTTGTATGAAATGTCTTTGACGCAGTCATTATTTAAAAAGACGTTTTTAGGGTTTCAAATATTAAATGATTGTCCATATTTCTTTCTGATTTTGATTTTTAAATTTAATTTAGTTGTCATAGGACATAGTTTGCATGATTTCAGTGCTTTTAATTTTGTTGAGGCTTGTTTTCCGGTCTAGGATTTCAGAATGTCATATCATTAGAATTATACAGCATGCACACATTTTAGACTGGCTTCTTCCACTTACTGATCTGCACTTCAGTTTCCTTCTTGTCTTTTCATGGTGTTACAGCTCATTTATTTTTAACACTCAATAACATCTCATTGTCTGGATGCTCCACAGTTTATTTATCCATTCACCCACTGAAGGACATCTTGATTGCTTCCAAGTTTTGACAGTTATAAATAAAACTGTTATAAACATCCATGTGCAAGTTTTTGTGTGGACAGAAGGTTTCAATTCCTTTGGGTAAATATGAAGGAATTTGATTGATGCATCATATAGTAAAGGGTATGTTTAGTTTTGTAGGAAGCCACCAAACTTTCTTCCAAAGTGTCTATACCATTTTTCATTCCCATTAGCAGAGAATAAGAATTCTTATTGTTCCACATCCCTGTAAACATTTAATGTAGTGGGGCCGACGCCTTGGCGCAGTAGGTTAATCCTCCGCTGGCAGTGCCGGCATCCCATATGGCACAGGTTCTAGTCCCGGTTGCCCCTTTTCCAGTCCAGCTCTCTGCTGTGGCCTGGGATAGCAGTAGAGGATGGCCCAAGTGCTTGGGCCCCTGCACCCACATGGGAGACCAGGAAGAAACTCTTGGCTCCTGGCTTCAGGTTGGCACAGCTCCGGCCGTTGTGGCCATTTGGAGAGTGAACCAACAGAAGGAAGATCTTTCTCTCTGTCTCTCTCACCATCTATAACTCTACCTGTTAAATAAATAAATAAAATCTTTAAAAAATGATAAAACGTTTAATGTAGTTAGTGTTATGGAATTTGGCCATCCTAATAGGTGTGAAGTGATGTCTCATTTTTTTTTTGTAAGATTTATTTCTTTATTTGGAAGGTAGAGTTACAGAGATGCAGAGACAGACAGACACACACACACACACACACACAGAGGTCTTCCATCTGCTGGTTCAGTCCCCAAATGGCTGCAACAGCCGGAGCTCAGCCAATCCCAAGCCAGGAGCCAGGAACTTCTTCTGGGTCTCCCATGTGGGTGCAAGGGCCCAAAGACTTGAGCCATCTTCCACTGCTTTCCCAGGCCATAGCTGAGAGCTGGATTGGAAGTGGAGCAGCTGGGACTTGAACTGGAGTCCACATGGGATGCCAGCACTGCAAGCAAAGGCTTTACCTGTTATGCCACAGCCCTGGTCCCTCATTGTTGTTTTAATTTGCAGTTCTCTGATGACACATGTCATAGAGTGTCTTCATATGCAAATTTGCCATCTATATATCTTTAGTAAAGTGTCTGTTATGATCTTTGGGGCATTTTTAAATCAAATGCTTGCTTTCTTGTTGAACCTTAAGACTTTGTATATTTTGCATAGGATATGGAACAAAGAGTGCTTCTCCCCTTGAGCAAAAATCTCCAATGTGCTGCTGTAGAGCAGGTGCAGGGCCACCGTGATTTGCCTTTCAGTGTGACACCTCTGCTCTATGAGCAGTGTACTGTATGGGAGCTGTAGTCTTAGTCTTCTTGACCTGCTTCTCTTGGCATGGAATCGCTGCTCTATAAGACAGCCAGGGTGAGAGCAGTGAGGGTACAAGTATTCTTTTTTTTATTATTATTTTTTTATTTTTTTGACAGGCAGAGTGGACAGTGAGAGAGAGAGAGACAGAGAGAAAGGTCTTCCTTTGCCATTGGTTCACCCTCCAATGGCCGCTGCTGCCGGTGCGCTGCGACCAGCGCACCGCGCTGATCCGATGGCAGGAGCCAGGTACTTATCCTGGTCTCCCATGGGGTGCAGGGCCCAAGCATTTGGGCCATCCTCCACTGCACTCCCGGGCCACAGCAGAGAGCTGGCCTGGAAGAGGGGCAACCGGGACAGAATCCGGCGCCTTGACCGGGACTAGAATTTGGTGTGCCGGCGCCGCAAGGCGGAGGATTAGCCTAGTGAGCCGCGGCGCTGGCCATGGTACAAGTATTCTTGACTTACTGTACCCTAGGTTGGACTTCAGTCCTGTGGATGGTAGCTGGGTGGAGGAAGAGATCCTTGTATTATTTGGTCAAACTCTCCTGGAATTAGGGTGTGCAGCATGGGGTTAGAGATAAGACAAATGTTGGTGGACTGTATGTCCCAAGGAAGTATTGTAATCCCTGCCTGTGAGTTGAGGAAGGGGAAGGCCTGTCATTTTGGAAATACTACTGTAGTCCATCGTGCTGAGCCTGTGATCAGGGACGATGGAATGGGTTGTAGTGCTGGTGGTACTGATACTCACTATTCTTACCAAGATATCATAGATTTTCTTAAATAAATGTCAGTTTACTTGCTGTATGCCCTTAAGATACTTTCCAGAGACTTGTATTTTTTTATAGGGATGTTTTACCAGTTATTTTTGTTTCGCTATAGAGTAGGCCTCCAGAGTTCCTGTGGAAAACCATCTTCCTGCATTCCTCTTTATTTGTTTCTTTACATTTTTCCCTTCTGAGGTTAATGATTGGTTATTTCCACAGCTAGCAATAATTCTACAGCAATATGAATTACCTCAGCAGCTGAGTATTCTTGGAAGGGTATTTAAAAGTTTATTTATCTCACTCTGAAGAAGTGGTCCATAGCAAAGTAAAACCAATTAACACAGCCTTTAAAGCTGAGCTTCACAAATGCCATGATATCCCTAACATTTCCTCCTAGCATGCAGGTGTTGATACACATCAGCTGGGGAACTCGCCCTAATGTTCATTTTACTGCCGTATTTCCTTTTTGAGGCCACGGTGATAATCACAACACCTTGAGCACTCCCAAGGAGGTGGAGCCCTCAGCACACATTCCAGGAGCTGATGGGCTCCGTTGGGACCACAGTTCTATTTTCTCTGTGAGAGAGTAATAACAGTTCTCTGAGAGGAGCTGTATGGGATTTACCTTCTTAGATATTTAATTTATTTGTCGATAATTTGGACTGGTTAATACCTTATTTTTTCCTGTATATCTTCATTATAACTCATTTCACTTACTCTAATTACTTTTTAATGGTTTTCCTCTTATATTTGTACTAATCTAGGCAATTCAGGGAGCCAACCTGGTATATTGATTTAGTTACCTTGATACTGAGGAAGGCAGTTATGTCTCAGTTTCTTCTCATTACGTTCGTTGTTATACTGCAATATCCTAGTGATCACAATCAGGCAGTTTCTGCATGTAAGCCCTAAATTGGGACAGTTTGCTTCCTTTAGGCCTGGTATCCAATAGTGCAGATACGTGGAGCATTGATATACTCAATATCATTATATTTTTGCAAATCTTAATCATGTTGATTTTTAAAAATTTTCTGGAAACTATAGGGATGTAATAGGTTTTTTTTCCTAGAAAAAGCAAGTAGGGATTTCATTTGTGCCTGAAACTAGTATCAATAAAGCCAGGTAGCAAGGTTTCTGCTTTCTAATAATTAAGTAAAATTGTGAGAGAGATGTGGGTTTGGGTTTTAATTGAAAGAAACAACTTTGGTGCAGAAGCCAACAGGAAGGGCTTCTGAGTGAGGCAAAGGGACGCCTCTTCCTTGCCTTCCTTCCCATGCTCATACTTTGACTTGAGTCCTTGGCAGAATATACTCCCCAGCGTTATCTACATCTTCTTGATATCATATCATTAGGCTAGCAAATCACCAGAATGCTGGGCTTATTATTGTACCTTAAAGTTTGTTTAAAGTATTGTACAAATGTTTATGGTTTTCTAGGAAATTCAGTGATTCTTCAATTTTTGTGATTTAAAGTGCGGGGAGTTGAAGATAACTGAATCTCCAGAAAGTGCAGCCTTGAGAAAGCCAGTTCAGATGCTTGACTTTCCCAGAACTATGCTGGGTGGCCTAACCCTCATCTGACAGGACCTTGACATGAGAGGGCAAGATACTCTGACCATCCTTTTTAAAAAGGAAAAGCACTATTGTGAGTTATTTTAAGACACTTGCAACCGTGCTATTTTATCCCCAGTATCAGCCATCGTTACATAATAGGTTGTCGACTTGCTTCTCTCTTTGTGACTGGCCTAAACAGTGCCATCCTCAACCAGACCTGCTCCAGTTGAGCCCCACCTCTGGCTTAATGGGGAAGTGGAGGATTCCTTCTCCCAGACTATAAATAGTACAGAACCTGGGGTGCAGTGCAGTGGACACACTCCCGGGGAGATCTGCGCGTCAACCTTTTCTTTTTATCCCTATTGTTTGTCCACTTCTGTTTTCTGGTTTTAAATTTCTGACTTGGAGGTGGTTTTCATTTATTCGGATGCTTGCTTGAGCATATCTAATTCATTTTTTATTTTATTTATTTATTTATATATTTATTTTTTGACAGGCAGAGTGGGCAGTGAGAGAGAGACAGAGAGAAA